AAATTATTTTCACTTAATATTTTAAGTAAAGTGTGCAAAATATTAAAACTAAAACTTGAAATGAATAAAATGATAAGTTAAAGAAAACACGCACAGAAAAGAAGATGAATCTATCTATCTATCTATCTATAAAGATTTTTTATTTATTTATTAATTCGACATTTTTACTACTTAAACGGTATTTTTAGTGCATAAAATAACGTTTAAGCAATGAAAGTATCGGATTAATTTAATAAAATGGTCCATCCCTTTCTTTAGAAATTGCTTTTTTTACGTTAGGATACGAAATTCAGCAAATATGTCGATTTCTGGATTCAGAGAGAAACATGTGTTTAAAGGCACTATTCAACTTTGCTTGGTCATCGACGAGCTTCGTGAGGCCCTATCTCAGCCTATTCATAATCTATCTATCTATTAGTTAAAATTTTGAATCGTGATCTGTAAATATGATATTAAACTTTCTCTTTTGTAAAAAAAAAGATTAAACGTAATGATTCAAACATTCAGATCTGTCTATCTGTCTATCTGTCTATCTATCTATCTATGTGTAAAATTTTCAGATAGAGTATATCTGTAAAAGGTCAATATGAAAAAAGACAAAAGATTATCTTAGCCGACAGTTTTCATCGTGTGAGGGGACATTATCAAGGTAAATGTGACATTTGCCTTGATAAAGTTCCTCAGAGGACGAAAAGCGACGACTAAGAAATTTTATTTTTATCTATCTATCTATCTATCTATCTATCTATCTATCTATCTATCTATCTATCTTAATCTTCTCGTATCTCCCTCTTTCCCTCTTTCTCTTCGTATATCTCTCTATATATCTCAGTCTATTCATATCTATCTATCTATCTATCTATCTATCTATCTATCTATCTATCTATCTATCTATCTATCCACTGCGACACAGTGGGATGCATACGAGAAAATTAGAATTAAATAGGTAGATATGAATATTTACCAAGACTCTGGTGCAAGTTACAAGAATGTTTCGTTTATCTCAGCAAAGCACATATTTTCACGTGAGTCTGTCAATGCACAACACACTAATCTGAATACATTTCTCACAGAATCTACGAAACGTCTATAATAAGCAGACAAACCCACCATTGTAGATGTTAGAAAAAAAGAGAGAAAAGAAACGAAAAGCGAATTATATCATAAAAGTGTATTTTATTGTAAAAAGTAAGTGATATTTGTTGGATGAAGTTGCGATCATTCGTGGAGTGACTCGTAAGAAGCGATAATAGCATTTTCTTTCTTCTTGCTCGCTCGACGGCAAGCAGGTTATTTCTGTCGAGCATATAAATACAGATGTTTCTCATGTCATATCCATCTCTCTCCCTTTCTCATTATCTCATTATATATATATATATATATATATATATATATATATATATATATATATATATATATATATATATATATATTATGCAATTGGGCAGCAATCCCTATTTTATATAGGTTTCGTTGAAGATGACTGTCAAGGCAGCTGCGGATAAGATGTTTATTATATTTTTCTTGCATTCGTACAAGGGATTTCTTTTTTTGGACATATAGTTTCTTACTCTATATACAAAAAAGAATCCCTTGTACGAATTGTTTATCTGTAACCAATATTTATTCGACTATGTTTAAATGGGATTGATCTTGTAAATATTTCGATCTTTATTTATAATATCTTTAGAACATTAAAATCAAATATTGCATTGTATATATAGTTATTGGACGATTTCTGTTTACCTTCTTCTTTGATGTATTCTCTAAACATGTAAGATTTTTTTTCTGGAATCAATCCACCAGTACAGTGGGCTCTCCGTCTAATTTGTTACTCTTTTTTTAAAAAGTTTAACTTATAAAGATAGATTACTTATAGACAATTTTTCCTCTGCACACACACACACACATGTGTCAAAAAGGAGACCGATTTTTATAAAAAAAAAATCATCTAGACTATAATCAGTCTTGTCTTGAAGGATAATGCAAGAGATTTGTTATACAATTTTTATTTCTTCCATCATCTGAATTGATGATTTTCTATGCTTGATTTCATATTTGGAAACAAAAAATAAATGAAAAGGTTGTAGGAGCCCTGTTCATTCCAATAATAATAATAATAATAATAATAATAATAATAATAATAATAATAATAATAATAATAATAATAATAATAATAATAATCGGTTACGGAGATAGGACCTGTTACAATTCTATGGGATTACACAATACACACTGACAGAACAATCAAGGCCAACCGGCCAGATATTGTTATTAAAGACCACAAACAAAAACGGTGCCTCCTTATTGATATGGCAGTCCCTGCTGACTGCAATGTATCTTTGAAGATATTCAAAAAGTTGTCAAAGTACAAGGACCTTGAAATAGAAATCTCGAAAATGTGGCATATGGGAACATCAACAATCCCTGTTATAGTTGGAGCCCTAGGACTGGTTGGAAAAGATTGCAGTAGACTAATTGAAGGGATTCCTGGAAGTCCATGCCTCAAGGAGATACAAAAATTGTTCTGACAAGTACAGCCCACACCTTACGAAGGGCTTTATCTATGAATTTTTTTTTTTTTTTTTGTCAGTGGAAAGTGTCATGACGCCATTTCTAACCTTAGGTCCCTGGGCGGGACCCGGAAAGAAATGTAAACGCCAGAAATCAAAGAAAATAATAATAATAATAATAATAATAATAATAAATAATAATAAAAATTTGCAATAAATTCAATAAATAAAATAATAATAATAATGATAATAATAATAATAATAACAATAATAATAATAATAATAATAATAATAATAATAATAACAAATGAAAATGTTGCAGGTGTCATGTTCATTCCAATAATAATAATAATAATAATAAAGCTATCAAAATGCAAGGACTTTGAAATCGAAATCTCAAAAATGTGGCACATGGGAACATCAACAATCCTTGTTGTAGTTGGAGCCCTCGCATTGGTTGGAAAAGTTTCCAGTAGACTCATTGAAGAGATTCCTGGAAGTCCGTGTCTTAAAGAAATACAAAAGATTCTTCTCACGAGTACAGCCCACACCTTACAAAGGGATTTGTCGATGTAATTTTTTTCTTTTTTTTCCAGTAGAAATGTCATGATGCCATTTCTAACCTTTGGTCCCTGGGCGGGACCCGGAAAGAAATAAGTACACATCAGAAATCAAAGAAAATAAAATAAAAAAAGATAATAATAATATAACTGCCGTTAACGCTTGAGTTGTATCTGTGGTAAGTTACTGTCGAGAACGGAATTACAAATTCTGGACAGAAAGACTCAAAAACCTCTTTTTGAGAATAGCGCTCTTTACCAGAAGTCAATTATATCCGGAAGCAAAAAGGAATACAAGAAGATGACAGAGAAAGACACGCTACATGCAAGGGAGAAAGTGGCGTTTCAGGGACAGTCTGAGATGGACACCAAGGCTATTACGACAAAAAGATTTGTAGACTTGGTTGACGCAAGTAAAATTGAAACGCGAGTCAGAAAGCTTACTGGGAGCCGTCCCATGCCAAGCCCTGAATAATAATTCTGTCCGGAAGAATATCTACACCATATATATATATATATATATATATATATATATATATATATATATATATATGTGTGTGTGTGTGTGTGTGTGTGTGTGTGTCTGTCTGTGTGTGTAAGAAATATATGGCCAAATAAGTAAATATAAGGATCTTGAAATTGAAACTGGCAAAATTTAAAAAAATAAAACAAAAAACGTGGCGCCTTAAAACTATTTTTAGACCTATAGTAATTGGTGCCCTGGTTACAAGAAAATAGTTACAGACAAGAACATTAATAAAATCACTAGTCCTGGGTATGAGGATAAACTACATCGACTAGCAAGGCCTCTCATCAGGAGATTGGAAGTTTTGAGAAGCCTGGAACCATCTCTGCATTACTGTAGTTCCCAGGCCTACCCGTAACCAGGATGGTATCACCTGATAGCTGACCAGCTATGGGCAAATAGTGAATTCGTAAAAAGAAAAAAAAAACTATGAAAGTATAAAAATACATTTTTTTATAGTAAAAATAGCAGCAATACATTTTTATATAAAAAATGACTAATACATATTTATACTAAAATGACCAACGATATATTTTATCTGTAGTTGAAGCCATAAAATTGCGTTCAAATTATTTTAGATTTAGGCATTAAATAATCAATAGAGGTGTTGATATGTTGCTAAACAAATTCAACCAACAACAAGAGACTGCGCTGTGTGGAACTGTTCATCTACTTCGTAGAAAATATACACAATATATGTGTTAAGTATTACTTAACATCAGAATTTGTAAACACATAATGCATATATTTATTATCTACCCTTATCATAGTTCTCGGAAAAGAACTTGATAGATTCGATTTTTATGGCTTCTCAACACTTCATAAGCCATAAAAACATCCTTGAAGGTGATTTCAAGCCAGAAAATATTTTTGAGATAATAATTTAGTGATATAAGTCTTACTAATTAACCTATAGATTTGGGGAGAATAAGTAGATTCATACCTTTCCCAAGAACATTTGCGCGAAAGTGAATATAAACGAACACAACGGGAATTGAAACTCGGCTCTGCGATTAACAATTCCGAAATATTATCCATTAGACCACCTTCACATCCAAGCTTAGAGTAATTGGTATCACCAAACGGTCACCCATCTAGATACTGACCAGACTAGACGTTGTTTAACTTCGGTGAGTTTAACGTGATGTGACCGTAAACCGGAAATGAACTCTCTTATACAGCTTCCCTGATAACAATCATATATTTACTGTGGAAATACAAATGCATGAAATATTTTTTGAAAAAATTAGTGAAATAAAATAATGTTTCGGAGTTGAGTCCTGCTATAGTTTGTGTAGATAGGAGCGTTATATGAAATAGTTTTAATAAGAATGGAATAATATATCCCATAATTAAATGTGTATCCCATAATTATATCCCAATATAATGAAACAGTTTTAATAAGAACAAAATAATATATTCCATAATTAAATATATATCCCATAATTATATCCCAATATAATGAAATAGTTTTAATAAGAGTGTATTCAGATCAACGTTTGTCACGCCAGGTATATTTGAATCTTGATAATGACTAAGAAAGAAGAGAAACAAAGAAGTTTACCTGTACATGATTACCATCACTATCTTTTTGCCACTACGTTCAGTTGTATTAGAAAAAAAAGACCGGTTTAAGATGGCTGGCAGTTAAAACAGTTATTTAACAGATTTTCTAATGGACTATTTATTTTTATTTTATTTAAATAATGCTGAAATCTACTTATATCTGTTATTACCAGCAACGGATACAACAACCTTCGACAATCACATAGCTGATTAATAATTAAAGATAATTAACTAACAATTAATTAATCACATAACTAATTATAAAAAGAAGTTAATGGCTTGGATTTCTTTAATTATGTCTTTAATTTCCATACCTCAAAATAGTATGCCAGAGAATACAAGAGTAAGAAAACTATCGTTGGAACAGGGTCGCATTTACACTTCATATCTACTGACGTCATTAGTTGTCTTATATCATTATTTTGTATCTATGCCACCTGCGCAGGTGAACAGACAATTGGTTTCTTTGACTGCGTTCTTGCGTAAAGGTGCGCATACTTTATCAAACTTTGTCTGCACGACATACAGGTTGCTTCTGGCATACATATAAATAAAAATACGCTCGTTTTACATGTCATACCGATCGATATCTTACTATATATATATATATATATATATATATATATATATATATATATATATATATATTCAAAAAATATAATTCAAAATATTAATATTAGTGGTAAATTTTTTTTAGATATATGATTGCATATGTATGTGTATATTTACCCCTAATATCATCTATCTATCTATCTATCTATCTATCTATCTATCTATCTATATATATATATATAATACATAAAAGGTTAATGATTAGTGTTGAATCAGACCAGGAAACAGTAGTATTAAATTGTGCTAAATACATGTGTGTAAAAATAAAATAAAAGTAAAAATAACATGTAGAGTCGTCTTTAACTTTAAAAATCAGGAAGTCAGTTGAATCCGTTACCTTGGTTTCAACCTTACGGTATCGTCAGGCGATTTTTATCAAATGACCACCGAACGCCTTTTTATTTATTTATTTTTTTTTTTTTTAAAGAAACTAATGAACGCTATTTTTTTTTTTAAATAAACAAACACACGACGTTGGGTGTAATATAAAGGGAGGAGGAGGATGTGAAGAAGAAGAAGAAGAAGAAGAAGAAGAAGAAGAAGAAGAAGAAGAAGAAGAAGAAAGAAAGAAAGAAAGAAAGAAAGAAAGAAAGAAAGAAAAGCAAGAGTATTATAAATATTTAAAAAAAATAAAGCGTTAAGAGGTCATTTGATAAAAATCACCTGAGGATGCCGTAAGGTTGAAACCAAGGTAGCGAATCCAACTGACCTCCTGATATTTAAAGTATATGTATATATATAAACCACTGCTGTAACAAAAAAAAAAGAAATCTTTCACCGTAGATTATTTCAAACTTTCAAATTTCCAAAGAATATCATGATATAGTCAAAGAAAACTTTCCATTCGCACAGGTACCACATGCTCCTTGAAAATGACTGAATATACGTGAACAAAACAACATTACAACATGAACTTCAGACATTTTATCCTTAACTTCGATCACAATAAACAACAACTTATTCGAAAATTGAAGAAATACAATAAAATATTAAACAGATGTTTTTAGTTCTTTTATTCAAACTTATGTACATATATAGATATAATGGCCTGCTACTCATTTGCCGAGTACATCCTTCTGTTATGGCGGCTTTCAAATCCATGCAGAAAGCGCCTATTCAACACCCAAAGAGCTAACCTACCTGTGTTTCATACTAAAACTATGGTGTACGGGCTTACAGTTTATGAGACAGAGCCTATATCAGGAGGACTTGTGACATACACCACACACACACACACACATACATACATACATACATACACACACGCACACATATGTATATCTATGTATGTATATATATATGTGTGTGTGTCGGTGTGTGGTGTGTGGGTGTGTGTGTAAAAGTGGGTACTGAGGTAAAAACCAAGCGGCCACAGTCTGATTCATGCTTCAGCGCAATCCTCAAGTCATGTGTCACTGCTTGGTGTTGATTTTTGTGTCAACTTTTACATTTACATACACTCTATCTCTGATGTTGAGCACTTTTACTCATAAATAGTCCTGAGTATGACGATAAACTACATCTGGCATCAAGACTTCTGATCAGGAGGATTTGAGGAGTGTGGAACAACCTCTTAACTGTTGTTGTTCCCAGGATCCCACTGCTCGGAGGGGCTAGCATCTGTTAGGGTCCCAGCTAACCATCAAAGAGAAATCAAAACACAAGGGAAGTATAAAAATACATTTTTATAGTAAAATTACAGCAATACATTTTTATATAAAAAATTACCAAGAATACAGTTTTATAACAAAATGACCAACAATACATGTTATAGCAAAGTGACCAAAAGTATATAATAAAATTACAAGTATACATTTCTATAGCAAAATAACAATAAATTGAAGACATGGCATATATTATCAAAAAAAGAAATTAAATTAAAAATAACAATTTTTCTATGAATAAACTTATTTTTTGTAAGGAGAAACAAGATTTCAGACCACGTTTGATTTTGTAAGGTTATTTGTTAAAAAACTGATGCAGCTCAGTATTTATAATTTAATCATGAAATAATGTCATTCTCTTGAAGTAATTATAAAGTTTGCATTTTGCATTTTAGATTTCAGCATTAAAAAACCCATAAAGATGTTGATATGCCTCTAGACCAAAGACAAAAAGAATATTTTAACTATAAATATAGCACACACAAAGCTCAAACACACACACACACACACACACACACACACACACACATATATATATATATATATATATATATATATATGTATAATGGTTATTCTTTGTAAAATAGTTGATTTCTTATATCATAACCTAATGAACTTTAGTTAAAAAATAATGAAAATGTGTTTACTTCAGTTTATTTAAAACATTTCTAAAATTGTATATAAGTATAATTGTACTATGGCTTTTTGAGCCTTCTAGAACTTTATGGAACCTTCTAGAAATTGTTTATTTGCAGGTTTGGATGTTACGCTATAGGACCAAACTGTCCAATGTGTTAAAACTATATACTATCCAATTACCACACTAGAAATTGAAAAATAAATCTTCTGGAAGTTTACAATTTTCGTTTATTTGTAAAGTTGTATATTATGCGATAACTATTAAATGCGTTAAAAAAACGTAAGTACTATTTAATTAGATCATTATAAAATTGAAAAAAAAAAGCTTCGAAAATATTTTGATTTTTACCCTTATTGCGTATATGGCATTACATTTTGAACAAAGGTTCATCGATTCATGATAAAGGAACATAGGTTTACAAAAAAATTAATAACCCTATAAATATATATATATATATATATATATATATATATATATATATATATATATATATAGTGTGTATTAACCAGCAGATCATTATTTAAACATATATTGTTAAATATAACAAAAGATGAATATTTATTATGTTTGATCATCAGCCGTTCTAAACTCCGTATATTTGCTTTAACTTGCAACATTTAGATATATTTTTATAGACTTGGTCCTTGATCTAAGATTTCGGCTCACATGAGTCATCTTCAGGGTGGTTATATGGACATTGTCGATATCGCTGCATAGCAATCTTATATATATATATATATATATATATATATATATATATATATATATATATATATATATATATATATATATATATATATATATATATATATATATATATATATATATATATATATGTATATATATATATATAAACATATTAAATATAACTAACAGACAATGAAGGGACATTTTAACAGATATATAAATATATATATATATATATATATATATATATATATATATATATATATATATATATGTGTGTGTGTTTGTATGTATGTATGTATGTATATATATATAAAAATATACATATATATATTTATATATATATATGTGTGTATTTATATATATAAATATATATATATATAATTATTTATATATATGTAATTATTTATGTATATATATATTATTTATATATATTTATATATAATTATTTATATAATTATATATATAAATATATATATTTATATATATATATATATATATATATATGTGTATATATACACACACAGAACAACAACACAGAACGACAGTTAGTGTCAATGTGTTACATATATTCAGAGAAATAAATGTGTACACGTGTAGGTTGTGCACGTTTGTATTTATGTAGGTTCATAATAAGCATATAGAAAATTTGGATGCTTTCCGTAAAAGGTTAAAATATTTACACTTAAATAATTAAGATTAAATATCGCATAAAAAGTTATTTATGTAATGTTAAATCATGAATTTTCTATGGCAAACATAAGCTTTGATAAAATGTCCGTATGTGAAGACATTCTCTGTATCGATCATTTGTTTCTATTCTTCTGCTAATGTCCAACAAACGCGTACGACTGTTGTCTGCGCTTATTACAGACACAGCTTTTTTAGCAAATATACTCGTAAGACGAAAATAAGATCGGCCGCATAAGGGATTACTTTCGACTTATAATTTCAAGAAATCAAAATTCGACTGTAATTCATGTAATTATGCTCAGTTTGAATTTATTATGTGAATACTTAAATTAATCAATATATTTTACTAAACAGGGTCCACATTTTTTCAAACCAATTTTTTTTTTAAATTATGGATAATAAAAGAATATTTGCTAAGTTGTTTTATTGATTCTTGTATATATCTAAATTTTAATTTTGTTTTATTTTTTCCAATATTTATCTATCTATCTATCTATCTATCTATCTATCTATCTATCTATCTATCTATCTGTATATATGTATATAAATGTATGCTTTTATGTGTGTTTTGAATGTTTATCTGTCTATCTATCTGCGTGTGAATGATTTTTATCTATCTATCAATATATATATATATATATATATATATATATATATATATATATATATATATAGAGAGAGAGAGAGAGAGGAGAGAGAGAAGGATTATTTATTTATTTATTAATTCGACATTTTTATTACTTAAACGTTATTTTTAGTGCATAAAATAACGTTCAAGCAATGAAAGTATCGGATTAATTTAATAAAATGATCCATCCCTTTCTTTAGAAATTGCTTTGTTTACGATAGGATACGAAACCGAGCAAATATGTCGATTGCTTGATTCAGAGAAAAACATGTGTTTAAAGGTACTATTCAACTTTGCTTGGTCATCGACGAACTTCGTGAGGCCCTAAGCACGTCATATCTAATGACGGTTTCTATTAAGAGAACTCACGTTCGAATCCGACGGGAGAGCGCATATATTTCTCTAATAAGATTTATCGAATATTCGGACGACAATAAATAAATATCCTGGTTAAGAAATAGACGGAGCGTCTACTCAGATACGATTTTCCATTAAAAATAGCCTTTAAGTAAATGCACACATACACACAAATGCATTTAAAAAATGAAACATGTTTCTTGAAGCTTTTATTTTAATGTTAATTTCAATAATAATATTTACAATCAGCAGAGTATTTATGCTTTTTGCAAATTGAATTTACATTGACTGGATTAATTGTTTTTCGGATAATCAGTAAAATCCATAAAACTGTCCATAGTGACAAATCTGTCAACACAGCACAATTCTTTTTATTAAAAACTCAATATTATTTTCTGAAACTTTTCTAAAATTACATGGCGAATACAATGTAAATGCCTGCATACATACATACATACATACAAACACACATACACATATATATTTGCAGTATTTAGGGAGAATCCTTCATTTATGCATGTTTCATTAAAAACGACAGACAAGTTACTTTGATTAATCATTATATTCAATTTTTCTTGTGTTCGAACATTTTTGGTCACAGAGTGTGTAGAAATTGTCCAAATGTTCTATAATTCCAAGCGCTTTCGGCTATACTTTTAACCATTATCAAAGATGATTTTATTTTTTTACTTTAATTGAGTATGTGCGTTGTGTGTATGTTTTTACTGTTATAGAAATGTTTTATTTTCCGAACACAGTTAGCACATTGTGGCCTTGTTCGTAGTTAATATTATTAAGTATTGCATTTTTCTCTTTTATCTGATGATCGCAAAAGCGTGAAACCCAGGGTCACAAATTCATATCCATACAACTGAATATATATATATATATATATATATATATATATATTTAACAGTCCTGTATTTTAAAAAATTGAAAATATTTGAAACATTCTAACATTTTATTAAATTTTAAGTACAATTTTTATTCTTACAAAGACGCTTGATGAAGAAATGTTAGAAAATTTACCAATAAATTTTATATTTATTGTAGTTTTCTGCTCATACTTTGTCATAATGTCGTGTTTTGGCCAAATGACCAGGTTTAAACACACACATACGAAAAATTCTGAACTATTTTAAAAAAAACTGTGGGTAAGCTGTTTCATTTATGATTAATAAATAAGGTTTTTGTTTAATAACAATATTACTTGGCCGATACAAATTAATATGGAATGTAAAAGATTAAAAAGTTTATAAATTATTCTAATTAAAAAAAAAATGAAAACAATTCTGTTAAAAATTCATTATTCATCGAAATTTTTTTCGTAAGACAATAATGTCCATAATATATTTTATTCATAAAAGCAATTGAAACTTGTTTTTTTTTCTTATTAAATAATGTCTTATTTTTATTGCATTTTTTATTTTACGATTCAGAGCAGATTTTCTATAAATTGGGGGTGGACGCTGTTTGGTCAAAAATTTGATGATTTAAATTCTCCTAGGACTTTTTTACATTAAAACATATAACATTACATTTTTACATTAAAACATATAACATATAAACATTAAGCGCTACAAAAAGAATGTGCCTTAATTTCATAAAATTAAATAAGTGGTGGATAACCGAAATAAAACTGTATTTTTGCCAAGATTTTAAAAAAAATAAACATTTCAAAATTAATTTAATTAATTTCTGAAGAAGTCCTCAATGTGTCAAGAAGTTCCAAATCAATGTGCTTTCCATCACAAAAAGAAACTCAAATTTCAAATACTAAGCTATGGTCCCCCTTTCATGACAGAAAAACATGATTTCAACCAAAATTTCAAAGATTCAAAAACGATTAAAAACATTAATGCCTATATAAGAAATTATTTTTCTTTCCCCTTAATAATAGCACAAATGTTTTTGACGATAAAATTTCATTTTTATAAAGTTTTAGGCATCTTTTCATCATTTATTCTCAGTTTTTACCGAATTTTTGGAGGTTTTTGGTTTATTGAGAGATAAGTGAACACTTAATTTTATTTGTTGTTTTGTATATATATATATATATATATATATATATATATATATATATATATATATATATATATATATATATATATATATATATATATATATGCATGCGTGTGTGTATGTATGTATATATATATATATATATATATATATAATATATATATATATATATATATATATATATATATATATATATATATATATTTTAATTGATCTGTAATCTTAAAAATTTTAAATATTTTAACATTCTAATATTTTTGATTTTTTAAACGTAATATTTAATCAGTGATTTAAACTGGAATGACATTTTCTCTTATATTCATAATTTAAAGTAAGCAATACAACTTAATTAAGTTTATAATTATAATAATTTGACTTAATTAAAATCATATATATATATATATATATATATATATATATATATATATATATATATATATATATATATATACATATATATATATATATATATATATGAAATTTTGATTACGGAGTCACGTAAGGATTGAAATAAATTGAATATATATTATTCTATTAGAAATATGAGCATCTATTTTTAACTCTGTATGCATGCATGTATGCGGTAGTTCTATGTATTTGAGGCGAAATATAAATTAATTTAGTATTTATAATTTATATCACAGTATGCTTATCTGGTGGTCATCTCTGGTGATCAATAACTAAATTGCTACTACTACAACAGCTACTACTACTACTCATAATCATTACGATTAAATCAAATTAAAATATGATATAAATAAATAATATAGAATTAAATATAATAATAGCAATAATAATTATCAATGTATAAATTGTATCGATTTGATGGTTATTCTTAAGGTTTTGCGAATCAAACATTTAATCAATCATTTAAATTGGGAATTATATTCTATTTGGATACAAACGTTAATTAATAATTAAATAAACAACAAATAGTAAAAATGAATTTTTTTTTCATTGGAAATTTACTTAAGGAAAAAAGAATGGAATTTTGTTCATATCAACTTTTATATTCATAATTTAAAGTAAACAATACAACTTAATTGATTAAATTTATAATTATAAAAATTTGACTTAATTATAATAATTTAATTAACTTATAATTATAACAATTTATAAAACTTAATATTTTAATCAAATCGAATAATTGGCAATTAAAATTAATGATGCTTATATGAAAGTTCCTTAGTATTATCATATATGTGTGTGTGTGAGAGTGTGTGCGCAAGCGCGTGTGTATAGTACAAAATAAAAATTAATGTTCACTTATTTGTCCCTACTCTAAGTTTCTGGATATGTGTGTGTGTGTGTTTGCCTCTGTGTGTGTGTGTGTGTGTGTTTGCCTCTGTGTGTGTGTGTGTGTGTTTGCCGCTGTGTGTGTGTGTGTGTGTTTGCGTGTGCGTGCGCGTGCGGGGTGTGTGCGTATGCGTGAATTCGTGTGTGTGTGCGGGTCTGTGTGTATGCGTGTGTGTAATTTTGCGCATAATTTTATACTGTTACAAGATATTTAGTAAAATGAAATAATTGTCTCCATTTCTGATTTAATTCACTTACTCGTACGCGGCCAATTTTTTTTAAAAGCAATCCAATTGTTTTAGCATTCGACTAGGATTCGTCATCACTGTGATACTCTTAAATATTTTAACAACTTATTTAAAACAAATAAAATCGTTTTTGTGAAACATTTAATTCAAAATCTGTAAATTTGTTTAAACAGAGCCACTAATAATATCAAGACAATAATAATGCAAATTTCACCGGAAATATTGTTGTTCTTATCCAATTACAGGCTAAAGATATTGGGAGACAGAAATCGGTCTCTAGTATGTTTATTTTTCTTTAACTTAGATGGATAACTTAGATTAAAGTGTTGTGCTAATTGCCTGTATGAACAAAATATTTTTTGATGAATAATGAATTTTTACATGAACTGTTTTCATTTTAAAACAAAAGTTCAATTAGAAAAAATATAATCTTTTAAAATTTCGTATGGATTTGTAACCGTCAAGTGATATTGTTTATGAAAATTCCATTTACTAAGCATAAATGTAACTGCTAACAACAAAATAACGACACTTAATATTGGGAGACAGAATTCGGCCTAGTTCTGGTATATTCATCTTTCTTTAACTTAGATCACCCGTTAACTTACGTAATGGAAAATCGTAAGATAATTTGGTTCAAAGTGTGCTAAAAAGCATTAAAATCATAGATACGATTCGGAGTAATGTATTAAATAATAAATATATTTGATCTCAGAGATTCTTCAATCAACTCTGTTCAAAACAAGCGGATAAGTTTAGAAAATAATTACATTATGATATAAAATGACCATGTTCAAAAGCTTGCTTTCGTCATTGATAGGTTGTAAGACTCCCACCTCCAAATTAAGTTATTTGCATATTATGGTAATTAGAAGTTCGGTAAAATCTGATATAAATATTATCTCAATTTCTTATGTAAGACGCAGGAAATATTTCTGAGACATTTTTTTTAGGAAAAAAAAATACTATCATACTGGTAAACATCAAC